AAACACCTGGATCACTTCGTCAAGGAGAAACACTTCCATGATCAGACCTCTGCCGAAGATGCCTTTAAGGATTTCATCGCCTCCAGAACCCAGGATTTCTACTCGACTGGGATCAACAAGCTTGTATCTCGTTGGCAGAAGTGTGTTGAAGCGGATGGTGCTTACTTCGATTAAAAATGTTCATTATCAGCTGAGTTACGACCCTTCAAAGTTTGCGATCGAATTCGGACATTTATTTTGGAACAGCCTAATACTTCCGTCCTCGTGGTGAAAGAGCATCTTAAAAGTGGTTCCTGGAAGGGATGGACTATTTTTTTTTTTTTCCCTAAAAGAGTGGTTCTTGCGGATTTTAGCTACGATTGGAAGTTGCATGTCTGCAGAGTCGCAAGGAATGCCAACATCGATTCCCAATATTAACAAGAACAAGTTTAGAATTCGAATTTTGAAGAGGGAATTCCCATCTGTAGGGCGCATAGACTCCGAAGGAATCCGCGGACCAAAGGTGAAGCGTCGAGCCGCGCTTCCGGGGCGAATGCGGTTCCCTACGGCCCGGTGGAAGGAAGCGACGGGGACGGCTGCGGTCGCCGATGGGCTGCCGTGCCCTTTGGCTCGAACGAGTTTTTCTCCATTGGGAAATTCCGTGCAGTTATTGCCAAGAAGCATCGGTGCCGGTTTGAACACCGTCGGGAACGGAAAAACCGCCTCTAAGCCGTCCAAATCTCTTACAAGTTCGTTTCAATAAAGTGAAAGCAACCCTCCTCACAAAATTTCAACGGCCCAATCACTTCTTATCGAGAGCTTAAACTAACAGCTCCTCCTTTTACTTAACATTAACGCCCTTAGAACATTTTCGTAAATGCTGTGGGGACTACATCATGCACTCGCGGAATCATCATTGAACTTGCACTCTGCTGTGCCATCGGTTTGCCAAGACATTTCAGCTCGAGATGAAACCAGTTTCAAGGTCGTCCAGCTTAAAATCACGCTCTACTCGCCAATAGAAGCTGCAGAAGTGATTCGCACCCAACTAATTTTTCTCCCAGTATTGATGAAGTGAGAAGTTCCTCATGCGGGAATTCTGTACTGAAGATTCCTAAAAAATATTTCCCATTAGAAGTGCTGGATTCCAGAAGCGATTGTTTGGTTTTTTTTTTTTTTTTTTTTTTTTTACCTGGAGTGCAGCAAGTTCATGAGTAATTGACTCGTGAATGCAATTGAAAGTGGGCATCAGAACTGAAATCTTGACGCTAGAACTTGGTTCGACCATTGAATGCACCAGGAAAAACGGCAATGAGCGAGGTTCTTTTGAAATGAGGCAGCACTTACCCCAGTATTTGCTGCAACCGAAGACAGGCGACCTGGGGACGTTCTGTCCCTCCATCCTCATACCTTCACGATCGTTGTACGAGCAAAAAGTATTCTGGCGTTCCTTCATGAGCATGATGCCATGCTGTTTTTATTTAATGCTTTAGTTGCACGTAAGGTCTTGGGCAGGGCTTGAATGTGCAAAATTAAATAAAAATTGAGAAAACATATATTTTTATTCACTGGGATGGCTTGGTGACGAGCTTTCGAAAAGTGAGATTGATCCTCGGTTGTACTGCCCTCTTCCTTGGAGGCAGGGAATGATACCAGAATAAATTTGTTGGCGGATTCATCAATAACAGGCTTCCATGCTCCAACATCAAAGTCACTGGTGAAAAAAGTAAATAAGTAAAACCAGATCAGTCACTGTTTTATGGCTATAAAAAAAATAGCCACTGATGAGAGTTAGCACAGGCATTGGAGAGTACTCGTTAACCCCTTAAATGGACTCGCCCCATATGTGCAGTCTGGCACCTGCCTTCTCTCAATGGAATCACCGCACATATGCGTTCAAAAGTTCCCAGTTAAGGGGTTAAGATAAAGGGAACACAAAAAGAAATGCATCAGGTAAGTGGATAAGTGGTCATGCAAGGATGATGACATTTTTGGAATGGTGTACCAGGGAATATCTGAAGCAGAAAAATTTGTCCATGGCATAAAGGCTGTCTTAGTCTTACAATAGGTATTACATTGTGGAAGAAATGGAAACTTCTTATAGTGATGACATGATACCAAGTGTTCCTGCCAAACTCAGGGAAAAAATTAACATGACATTTACAGTGTGATGATGATTCCACTGATGAAGATATTATCATGATGCTTACCAATAAATGTTGATATGAAGATTAATGCAAGAATGCCTAGTAAATTTCTGTCTCTTTTTTTTTTCTTAGAGTGTATTGATAGCAGTATTTGGCTGTTGCTGTTTTGGCCAAATATTTCAATACTGGTTGACCAACAAATAACCATCCTAAATACAATGCAGTGTTTTTGCCATTTTCAACTTTGGCTGAAGTCAAAAAAACACAACCATTTCTTTTCCATTTGTGCATGGAGGCAGGAAAGAATATGTTTTCTTGGAAAAGAAACAATAAGTGTGGCACAATACCATCATGTGAAAAGTTCTGGTGGAGGAGAGAGGCTAAAACATGAACATTCAAATTTAACAATTTTGTATAGGGGAGATGAGAAATGAATAATTTGAACCATAATCATGAGAAGGCTCTTGGCCCTAGGAAATTGCTTTCTTAGAAAGAGAAAGAATCTCTAGTGGGAATATGGACACCATCGTTTGGGGCAGACCTCCTCCACTGAAATAAATTAATTCAATCATTGTGATACATCAGCTTTTCCAATGGGCAGGCTGGATGCACAAGTTATTCTTCTTGGAAATGAAGAAGAGATTACAACACATTCACAAGCACTCGTTCCTATCTTTCTTCCATGAAGGGCACTGGCATTGTGAGAACATCAAAATGGCTCAATAAAAATGGCTTCTCTTTCCATGAATACAGCATTTGCACAACAATTCTGCTCCTCATCAGGAAATCAGCTGAATTCATTTAGAACGTCCCTTTTCTTAGATGCTAACACCCAATGCCTGTACCAACTGAATTTAATTTCTAAAATAAAGTATGCTCCCATTGAATTTATACAGAACTTTTTTCCAACTGAAATATAAGTAAAGGGAACAAAACCTACCACATACAAACTTTTACAGGGCCAAGAGTTACACAGCCTAAATGACCTTCACCTGGCTCATGCAGACTCGATCCGGCTTTGTGTCGGCCCCGAGCATCCTGATGTCGAAAGACAAAGTCTCGTGGCTGACCCAGGGAAACAGAAGCGATTGGGGCAGCTGGATCTAAATCTATCTCATCGTCCTTGTGCTCTCCTACTCGGTCGCTGCCATCCTTATACCTGTAAAGAATGTAAGACACAGACTTTGAGCAAATGCCATTGCACTTTCCAGAGAACTTTCCATTCTGTCTAAATTCATGCCCATGTAATAATTCTGAAACCAACTAATTTCCTCCAGTCTTGCGTACTAATTGCCTACAATGGTGCAGTGATTTTAGATTTCTAGAAGTGTCATTGGAGATATGCTTGGGGTCCACATTCTGCATTAGGGGATATGGCTTTATGGCACTACCAATGAATAGGGCAGAAGCTCCAAATACAACACCTTGGAACTGTTCAGGACAGGCTGAAGCCATACACCAAAGTCCAAGAGCATTCAGAAGAAGCATTCTGATTCTTACTCAGACATTGACAATATTAATTTTTGCCTCTTGTTATAAGAACTTCATTACATCCCTGCAACAAAGAAGCATCATTCAAGTATGAATTGGGTCTCAAAAAGGCACGGCACAGGAAATCTATTGACCTGGCCTTCACCCAAAAAAAGTGGGGAAGTCTTACTTTCTCTTCAGGTAAGAATAATCAAATAATGAGGAGCTGACGAATACAGAGCCTTGATCCAAGATGGAGAGCCTAAGACAATGCAGGTAAGTTGGTGTTGCTCCAGCTAATTATTCTATATAATGAATGAATGCCTGGTCTTATTTCATAGACAGGTTGGGTTTAAATCTGGTACTGTCAAAAGTGAATGGAATAAGGGCTTTGTGCAAGAGTTGAGAAACACTTAAACAAGCAACAAAATCACAGCCTTCCAGATGGGAAGTGTTAGGCTAAGAGAGATATATATTTTGTCATAGTGTGAGTCTCATTGATCAGTTCAGCCTAAGCTTATTAACATGAATATATGACTATAAAGCATGTTCTCATGAGCCTTGATGGCAGTGAAACTTCTCAGCATGTTGAAGCTTTCTTTGCCATAGCTTTGTTCAGGCTAGGAATATGCATCACATTACAAGGGTCCTACGAAACAAGACGCAAGAAAAAAGCATTGCCTGCATAAATGTCAAAAATTCATCCAATATTTGATACCTGTTGATGAGCACAAAGTTGAATTTGGTTGAGGCAATGCAAGAGACAGCATCACAGAGGCCTTTCAGAAGAGGAGTCCAGGGTTTGGCTGGAATGGCAATGCCTGAGAAGTGATATGACAGGCCTGGGTCTCCATAAGCCACCTGTCACAACAAAAGCAAATTCTGTTGGCTTGTGTGCTCTACTTCCCATGAAAGTAATAAACCAAGAAAAGTTGCCTGAGTTGTTGGATAATGAGATAAAATCCTATGAAACCACAGTGAAGTACTTATTCAATTATGTTTTATTAGGACAAAGTGAAGCTTGTACTTTCCTTTAATCATTAGAAACCAAATTAATGAATAAAGCATATACAGTCTCATACATGTCATTCCTCTGGGGTAGAAATGTCAAGATGACTGGTGCTTGTCAGAACTAATGTCAGCCATTTTCAACATATGTCCCCATATACAGAAATTTCCAGGCTGTCAGCATTGTGCCAAATACGAAGTGAAGATAACAAGCCCACAAGAAAGAGACTTCTCTGACCAACATCAACTATGTATGACAGCATCTCTATTCTATATTGGAGAAATCAGCAAGTAGAAAAGGAATGGTAAAAAATTACTTGATAAAAAAAATTCAATGCAATTATTTTTGGCTTGCTTCCTATTACTCCTAAAAAGTATAAGAAATAAATTATTCAATAAATTATATTAAACATGGTCGAATATCTATCAAGTCTACATGATTCTTTCCACAGAAATGCCAATGGATAGTAAAGTTAATTACTTTTCCAACTTGGGCAGCCCAAAGTGAACCTTCAAGTCTATCAGGAATTAATAAAATAAGTCCTTCCTAAATAGTAGTCACTTGCAATGTTGCACCTTTCCTGAGTTGACATAAGGGAAGGATATTCATACATTCACTCATTCAAATAAATTCGGAAAGAAAACTAATGGTTCATTCCCAGTGCTCTATTATGCATGAGAAGCAATGGCACTACACCAATAAGCATGGCCTACTACAGATAATTTCATAACCTCATAAACCTCCCTTCCCCTCCCTAGCCTCAGTATCACCATATAAACTCTCTCAACCAGGACACGTATAATATAATAAGAAAACAATTGCTTACAAATGGGAATAGGCCTTCTATTTAGGGCCACATCAACAAGGTGTTGTCAACATTAACCTGGAATTGACAGCCCCCCAGCATAACAAATTCAGATCCATAATTTTTTTTTTCTCTTACATGCATCCTCCCAAATATCCCACAGGTTTCCACTCACTCAATGGCTACACAGAGGTGTGACTTCTGCAAATGGGGCAAATTCTGAAGGTAGGATTTATTGGTATATCTGAAGAGCAGAAATACCATCAAGGACCATCCACCAAAATCTGAGACAACCAGCCTTCCTAGTACTAATCTTGGCATGAACTAGAATGAATTGCAAGAAACCAATCACCTGTTTCCTAGGGATGGGGCACCATTTCCCATGCACCATGATTTGGGCCAATTCCCCAGAGTAATACTGAATGGAGTTCTCCAAGGAAGCAAAGACGAAGTCAGCCTCTCGCTTCCTCAGCAGCATGGTGTAAGAAAGCGAAAGGTTACTGGCTTCCTTCTGCTGCCAACGGATATCCCGTCCATCGAGTCTTCCCAATGCCTCCACCATGCTTTGCTCTGTGACTTCATCACTCTCATTTCCTTTTGGTACTGATTCTAATGGACTTCCATCAGTGGCTTGGTCACCTTTCTTCTTTGATATCAGCCAGCGATCCAGTGTAGAACTTGAACGCTTCATGAGTCCCTAGAAAATGATACTTGATTCCATCCTTCTGTCACTCCACCTGAAAAATAAAACTGCTGCAAAAGTGTTCTAAAGTCATATAAACCGAGCCCTTTACCTGCAATGCTTTGAAATTTGATAAACTCAAAATTTAAGAAAGTGCATCTAAAGAGGGCAAAGATGTCAGAGGTGACGAAGAGAAGCTGATGCGAGCAAAAAGGGCTCAAAAGTAATCTGATGAACGAGATTGGGAGAAACTCTGGTGAGCTAAACCGCATAGGTTTTCGTAGGTGTGCCAACACCAAGGACTCGGTTAGTGCGAAATACTCTCTGGACACAGAAACCGATATCAATTTTGACATAGGCCTATGTATGTGAATTGACGGAAACGGGCCTAACGTTAGGGTGCGCAAGCGAGAAAATACCGAAGCACAAAGAATGTCCAAAACGTAAAACATTTTTGGTGAATAACAGTCTGTGACGAGGCGGGTCACACCACTTGCGATGCGAACTCAACGACGTTCTGGTTCGACGACCAGAATCGGCCCGTCCGCCAATCGCGGCTACGGGAAGCTTCGTTCTCCCACACCACGTGGCGCTGCGATCGCTCTTGCAGCGGAATCTCTCGGCTCTGGTGAGTTGGTTCCGGTGCCAGGCCGGCGAGCCCGACTCGGTTTGGGAACGCGTTTGTGCCGAGAATCTTCAATAGGCCTACCGCTGTATCTTTAATGAGATGAAGACTCGAAGAGATATCACCTCGCCACGCGCGTCGCGAAGAAAAGACACGATGCCGAATGACTTAGCCGGCCGAATGATGACGATCTGTCCATTTCGTGGAGAAACCGGTGAAAGCTTTCCGTAGAATACGTGTTCTGCGCCAGGCTTCTCGGTCGTCCGTCTTCCTCCGCGTTCCCACCTCGTTAGACAGCAGTGACGTTCCTTCCCGCGAATCAGAAAATCCCATCGCAGGGAAAGAGTCCGTGTGCGTTTGCACTCTTCGGTCTCGTCGCTGAATCTTTTGCGAGTGCCACGTGCGATGTGACTACGTGACGTCGTGGATTCCCCCTAGCCCTACGAGGACGCAAGGGAAGAGTCCCTCGGTTTCCACGCGTAATTCCGCTAGCCTTCGTCCTGCCCCGCCGGCAGTGCGCCCCGATCGGACGAGACGATGGTCACGCGGTGGGTCCAGAACTTCAGGTCGTACGGGACAGCGGACGCTCGGTCTTTCCCGAGCCGGCAGCCGGTCGACTCGGTGGGCACGGTGAGTCCCTCGAACCGCGAGCCGGACGGAACGGTGAACTGTGGCCGTCCCGAGCCGGAATCGGACCACGGTCGGCGGACGGGGACCGGCGGATACGACGGACAACGAATTCGGACGAGTCGTGCGCGAAACCCCAATCCCCTCCTACGAACTGTTTTTACCTCATTTTTTATTTGGCCATGAGGCGATTTCCAATGTCAAATTTGTCAATCCCCATTGAGATTTTCTGGGCACGCTACCAATAGGAAGGCCGGGACGAAGGACGCCAGTATCCCGAAGGTACCTCCGGCCGTCTTCTCCCAGGCGCCGAATATCGCGTGGTATTTAAATATGGGGTATCCCTGGGTCCGTGGCCGGAACGTGTTGCGAAGCACGTGGGTGTCTCGTCCGTGCGGGTGTTGCGCGGTTCGTGGCTTCCTCTTATGAAAACTAGACTCACGAAGTGCAGGCTAGTCATCGGGACTACTTTCATTCGAGGAAACTTCAAATCTCAGCAGGAAGTAGACATGTTTTCGAATCAAATTGGCTTGAGGCCACCGCAATTAATAAGGAGGAATTGCGTGATGTGGTGAATGCGTCGCAATGACCATCTGGCACCCCGTGCACGTGCAAGTGGAGTCCGCGAATGATAACACTAATATCTGAAAGGTCGAATTCCAAGTACGTGCTTGCTTGGTCTAGCCTTACGTGGGCGTTCGCTCGAGGCTTAACGTTTGTCCGTAGGCCTCATATAGCCAAGAGGTCTTAGGCTAACGTTAAGCCTATTATTTAACGTTGTGATTTAAAATTAATTCGTACTAACTTGAACATGGATTCCATAGGCCTAATTCTAATACTGCCTTGTGATATATATATGTAATGTAATGCAATAGTGTTTTTTTTTTGTTTTTAGGAATCAAACAAGCAACCTATGAGAAAGGCTGCGCCTTAACGTTAGGCCCAAGGCGAGAACAATGCATGGTGTGGATTTCAAGTTCACTGTTGGTGGGGGAGCATGGACCTTGGAGCAGAGACAGTTTTATGAGGAAAATGGTTTCCTTGTTATTTCAAGGCTTGTCAGCCATGACCTCCTTGATGAGTTTAAGTGAGTGCTTAAGAGGCCTCATGTCGAAAGCAAGGTTCTGAAATCAAATTGCAGCTATTTTAAATTGGTTGCTTTCCTTCTACTGCGATGGATGCAGGAGTTACTAGATTACGGAAGCAGTCACTGATATAGCCTGAAGCAGTTATTTTTGAAACAGCAGATGTTGCTCATTTGGAGAAAATGTGGTACCAGTAGTATCTTTCATTTGACATCCTGTTCAGCTCACAATGTGTCAAGGAAGTGTTCTGATCTCTTCTGATGCCTTCTGTCCATCTTAAGTGACAAACTTTATTAGAATGGTTACACATAGCCCTGCTGTGATGAAATGAATTAGAATGAGAACTCAGCAGTCACTTTGTAATTGATTGCTTTATATCATGTTTTGCAGAAAATGCCACTGTAAGAGCAAAGATTTAATATTAAACATTTGAAATACACTACTGGTAATTCCATGGAAGACATCTTGTCAAATTAACATGTATACTGCTGAAGTAGGCTTTGGTAGATTCATGAAACTCTTGCCAAGAGTGCATTATTGACTAAGGTCTATTTAAAATTTGTACGAATGAGGCCAACATCCACCCAGATATGTTACATGAGGTGGATTTGTTCTGGTGATTTTTTTTCTAAAACTTCACAAATTTTTACAGACCCTAAAAAACACCAGCAGTCTATTGCAATTCTCAGTTTAAAAGGTCAGGTAGTGATTGCAATGATGAATTGGCAAATAGACTTGCAGCCTACTTTTGTTGTACTCATTGACACTTGTTGCATTCAGGGACCACTTCATCAAGCTTTGCAATGGGGAGAGAGAGAAGGGGCAGTTGACGATGATGAAGGATGTCTCCCTCATGAAGCAAGGTGTTGTCCAAGGGGAGAGACTGGTGAACAAGATCCAGGATTTCATCCACGACGACTGCCTCTCGCGGTACTGCTTCCTACCTCAGGTCTGTCCACTTTTTTCAGAGCAATGGAATAGTCCTGTGAGCCATGTTGTATATAGTGTGACATATTGGAAAGGTCCTGTCTTCTTTTTAATTGGATTAAGTTGGATGTGTTGGGCTTGGTAGGACAAGAGATCAATGTTAGCTGAATATGCTCCTTTTATTTTTCCCTAATGCAGAGACTGACTTGATTTCTCCTGCAAAATCTCCCTTAAAAAGAGGAAATTGACTTTTTTTTTCTCCCAAAAATATGTTTGGGGCTGCAGCCTAAGCAATTTTGGGATGATGGCATACTTCATGAGTTAACATTATATCCAATGGCAGTATTTCAGACTAGTTAATATTAAGTGTACCTAACTTTATGATGTTCCAAGTAGGTGCTGGACAATGTTGAGTCAGTGATAGGGCCAAACATCAAGGCAATGCATACTATGCTCATCAATAAGCCCCCAGACTCTGGCCAGATGACATCAAGGCACCCAATGCATCAGGTATGCTTGACTGTTGTTTACATGCACTTTCTTATCTGTTGACAAATTTGGATCCTAATGACTAAAGGTTGTAATTGGTACAGGACCTGCATTATTTTCCATTCCGGCCGGCAGATGGGATTGTTGCTTCTTGGACTGCCATGGAGCCAGTGCACAAGGAGAATGGATGCCTCTTTGTTGTACCTGGCACACACAAGGGCACCCTTCTTCAGCATGACTACCCTGAATGGGAGGTTTGTGTATTGATTTTTGGAAGTACTAGATTATTTTATTCCAGACTTTTAAAACTAGCTCCCTGGAATTATGAAGTATTTTGCATATTCACCATTGGAAAACCAAACTTCACCCAGCTATCACATTTTATATTTGGTGGTCTTTCATCAGTCTTTTATTATAATGTCTTCGTGAATCTTGATACTACCACTTTTTAAATTTTCTCTGCATATAGTTTACCAGGTGTGACTGTCTTCCATGATGACTAATATGATATTCTGTGTTGATGTAGGGAGGAGTGAATAAATTTTATCATGGAGTAAGGGGATTCCATGACACCAACCACACATATGTGGAGATGGAGAAGGGGGACACAGTCTTCTTCCATCCCCTCCTGTTGCATGGTTCTGGTAGCAACACTACCAATGTAAGCCCATTCCCAAAGCCATTATTAGAGTTATGCATTCCTGTACTATGTAGGGAGTTTTGTCTTGGTCTGTTTTCTCCAGGGGTTCCGCAAGGCCATCTCCTGCCACTATGCATCAACCAAGTGTCACTACATTGATGTGAGCGGCACGAGTCAGGAGAACATTGCTAAAGAGGTGGAGGAGATGGCAAAGAGGCGAGGCGTCCAAATATCCTTCCAGGTCAGATCAAAGTGCTTTTCATGGACCCATAGTGTATGTCACTTCATTCACCTATTTTTAAATATATCTTCAAGACTCAGTCATGAAGTGAGCTTTTGTGTATAAGAAGCAGTAAAGGAAAGGGCAGAGGTTTGCCAAATTTGACCTGTAACTTGCTGTCAAAGGAAGAGAAAGAGAATCCAAGAGTGAAGAGGGAGATGGAATACCTTAGGGTAAAATTTGCTTAAAACCAATTTTTTCAATCCTCTTTTTACCTTGGCTAAGGATAGGGTCATACAGGGTGGGCCATAAAAAACCGGACAGTTTTCTACGATACATTATACTTCTTGCACTGCACATATTTTTATGCAGTTTGTGGCATTTGAAAGAGGAATGAATCAGCTTTAAAATTATGTGTTTACCTTTCAAATATCTTCAGCAGTTTAAGAAATTAAAAAGCTTGTATGAACAGCAAACAGAAACTGGGTCACTGCATTCTTAGAGGGAGATGGCATATGACCTTCAGTCATGAAGGCCACTGCCTGTTCATCCCTATGCTGTCCTGTGGCAACATAATTTCTGCTTGGTGTTTATATGAGCTCCTGAATTTCCAAAACTGTTGAAGATATTTGTTATGTAAATGCACCATTGTAAAGCTTATTCATTCCTCTTTCAAATGCCACAAACCACATTAAAATATATGCTGTGAATGCAGTATAATGTACAATTGAAAACTCCAGTTTTTTTGGCCCACCCTGTATATTGCTTGGTCAAAGGTTTTGCTTCCAGGCTTTGTTTACTTTGGTATTGAAGAATAAACAGTTTTCCCTTTGGACTTGTGAAGGGTGATCCAAAAGTTTTGCCTTTGGATACAAGGGAATGTAACAATCTGTTTAAACAAATTTCGTTTTTCAGCATTACCTCCCTGGACATGAATGCTAGTCTGATTGTTGGAACAGTGCTTCAAATATATAGGGAAAAAATTCATTTTCTACCATCAACTAAAAATGCTGAAATGACTTCTCCAAGAGACACTGTTTTCAGTTTCACCTTCATGGCCACTTCACAGGACGTTTTACTTTAAATTGTTATTATTGAATGATCTGTTTTAATGATATGAATAGATTTATATCGTATGTGTAGTTTAAATATTAAATGCAAGTTTATAATTGCTCTGTATTCAAAATGCTGTAATTTAAAATTTATATTTTTCATGAGTGGAACATGTCTTATAAGCAAATTATTTAAAATATATATAAATGTACCTAAAACTGATTGCTGGCCCTTTCAATTACTGAAAAGAATGACTGAATATGAGAACCAAATTTCAGCTTGCTCCAATCATTCAGGACAGAAACTTTTGGTTCACCCCTTGTATTTCAGAATGGGGAATTTTTTTTGGATTTTGATCAGAATGTGTCTGGAGTTGTGCTATGTTAGTTTAACCTGAGTCATTGAGCTGAACTCAGTTTAAACCATGTTTTGTTGGATTTTACTTGGGAAAAACAGCACCAATGTGAGTAAAAGTTCTAAGGGGCCAATTTTATTAGTAATATTCACATCAGAAGGCGAAATGTTGCCTTTTGGTGCCTATCATTCATGCATCCAAGCTGTTCTGCAGAGTCACACTTGTGTTGCATTTGAAGCACAAATATGAGTATAAAGGCAACCATGTTAATGAGGTGCTACTGGGATGATCAGAGGAATGATGAAACTAAAGAAAAAATTGGATGGCTCATTTACATGGATGACCTGGCTTTAATGTTATGTCACAATTGCAATTTGTTCAACATTTTAAATTATCAGTTGTTGGTATTTGTTATGTAGGTCAGCCAGTTTCTGAATATCTTGTCTGAAAATGTGTTCTCTTTTTTTGTAACTACTTAAAATATGTGATTAGGTTCCAAATGATTTTCATTTCTATGTATGCATATGCTTTTTGCATTATTCAGACACAAGACTTACTGTTACTGCAGGTTTAGTGTAAGTTGATGGTATGTCTGAAAATATTTATTTTCTGCTCTAAGTGCATGCAAATCATGAAAGCATCCTATTATCAGCATCATTTTCAGCTTCATCAGCTTCATGCATTTTTGTTCCAACTTATGCCTCTAAGTATTCAACCCAAATTACCAAGAATCATTTTCTAGTGTGATTGAATAAGTTAAGGAGTGCGTGAGGGATCACTTGACAATCCAGTACATAGGGTTCTTTTTTAGGTGTCTTATCTGATCTGAAATTAAATGTTCTGCAAAAGTTTGTCATTGGGTCAAGTTAATAGTTATTCCACCTTGCATACATTCCTTGGGTCTGATTGAAATTAAGTGCTTTGGGATTCACACATTTGGAAAGTTTTCATCCTGGTGCAATGATTCATATATGCTAGTGATTCCAATGGACTGGGTAGAGAATCTGGAAGCTGGGTTGCCCCTTAACCCCTTGAGAGTGACTTAGGACAGTGCTTCTCAACCTTTTTTTATTATCAACCTTTATTTTTTGCACACCAGTTGAGAAGCACTAACTGAAAACACTGGTGGGCATGCTACCCAGAATTATTAAAAATTTAGAGAGTTTTATGTAGATAATTAATGTACCCTAACCTTAACATCATTGAATCACTACATACAGTTGGTAGCCATAACTTCATGAGAGAAAGGTTGATAGCATAAGAAATGCTTGGACAACTAAAGTCATCATACATGCTCAGGAGGTTAAAGAGAGTGCTGTTAACCTCTGAAACTAAAAAAGAAATTGAATAATGATACATTTGGAGAACTGATTTTCATTATGGTTTTGCCAATTTGAGCGCTGAATCCCCTGGGGGAAGGGTGGTATTTCAGATATATCAATGGCTCAGAAATATATACTGGTATTGGTAGGGTAGAAATCCTCAATCAAAATTCCTCATCCTGAGTGGTTACACCTTTGTGCCACTGGTTGGAATGGATAGACAAATTCTACTCTGGATTGTATAGAAGTTGCATATTCATTAGCCAAAGTTCTTCTAAGTATCTCAAATTTTTTGTTGTTGCCAAATAAAAAGTGTTTCATTTACTGACTTACAGGATGTATGGAGATTTCGAAGTCGCCTTGCCCGAGGCATTGAAGCCCACCTTTGATCGGCTTTGGGTCACATCAGATGTCCCTGTGTCTTTCATATAAGTGATTATTTTCTAGTCTTCTTCAATACTGTATGCGACTTAGGAACTGCAGGAATCAGTTCCTGTCTTTCTTTCTTTGGGTCTTCCATTTCGTTCTTTATTCATGCAGTCAAGTTGCTTCACCTTTCCAGCAACATTATTCTATTTTCTGTTGAATCATAAAATATGGGCCTTTTTTCTGCATCTATTATTATGCCATTTTGGGAGCAAAACATTTGGAAGTGCAAGCAATGGTGATTGATTTTTTTGCTTATGCAGCAGCTATGAATTCCTCGGTCTTTTTGTTAGAGACTTATAAGTTTCCGTAGGAAATTGCATGTTACTTCTTCCAGATAGTTATGGGACCTCACGAGTCATATCTTAAGGTATTTGAGGACAAAAAAATTGTGTATATGGTGATACCACATGCCATGATATAGGCATTGGATCTATTGTCTTCTGTCTTCTCATGAAGTAGTAGCCTCTTTATCACTTTCATCATTATCTCCTCTGACTGCATCATATTCCACATATCCATGAAGTAAGTCTCCCTGCACTTCTGGATGTAGTTGAGACCTGGTGACCTTGGACTCCTGTAACCTGCCTGATTCGGTCTTGTTTTTGTTACCACAAATGCTTGTCATTGGTTTTGGGGAAGAATGTACTGCAATCATTTATTTGTTCCTAGTTTGGAACTTAATCCATTTGGCATCTCTTTAGATTTTTCTCTGATGAAGAGAGACATTCACTCACTGTTAGACTATGCTGATTTTCATGCCAGTTTATAGCAGTGCGTAAATCTGAAGAAATTAATTAGAAACTATTAATTTCTGAAGAAATTAATTGGATGTTGGCAGAAAATATGTGAAAATATTATCTATCAGTATCGATCAGAATGCTTTCAGTTTTCATCTATTCAATCATCCCCATTCTCTTAAGAGTGATCCTGGAGAATGCCATTGCAAAAGGCAGAGGAAGTCATTGGCTGGTCAAGTAATGTCTTCATGTGTGCACATATATCCATGGTTGCATGCTGACAGAATTTATAACCAAATAAAGTTTTAAAATATATTGGACTGTGAAAATAAATTCCCTTTTGGAGAAATGACACAGGTCAAATCTGGTGACTGCATGGAACCTCTGTCAAAGTTATGCACATGGCCTGCTTCTCCTCTGTTTCCTCCATGTCTGCTGGTGGAAAGTATTAGATTAAAATGTAAATTTCGATTTGTTCTCTTGAAGGTTCGTAATTTATAAAAGTTTGCTGGTACACCAGAAAACTAATTTGAAAAGAACGAATTGGAACATTTCACTCATCTTGACACTGTGTTGAGATGCGTGAAGTATTCTGTTCAAAATCTCCTTTTTTGGAAAGTTTATGGTTGAAACAATGTGGAAGAAGTGAATGCAACCTCCAGAGATTAACCAGTTTTCCGACTGAAAATTATGAGTGAAAAGAGTGTACAGGGTGGATCTCTCTTAAAATAATGTAATAACTTGGGAACTGCTGCATGTATCAATATATTCACCGAACAACGGTTTTTGTATATCCATATCCATCTACAACACTGGTCGCACATGAAGCACTTTAGCGGGTGTTCTCCTGCTTCGTGATGAAATGGTTATATATTTGAAGTTATTTTCCATAACACAGGCAGATACAATTACAGAAGTACAATGGAGAATGTGACAGGAAATTGTCGAGCCAGTGCCTACGCTGAAGCCAATCGAGCGTCTGAACCTTGTTTGACGAAACGGGCAGTGTTGGACAGCTCAATTAGGCCAAAGAGTTCACACCCTGGATGATGTGACACGCTTTACTTTTAGTTTTGGCGACCTCGGCCACCAAGTTCAAGTCGACACGACGTCTTTCATCTTTACTTAATTCTCAATCCGACGTCTGAGTCCTGCAGGTATGGCATACAGACCTGACGATCCTCGTCTCGTGCACGCTCTCCACGAAGTCGATCCGGACTGACGCCTGCAGTTTGCCGAAAGTCCAAACCACTTGGGAATGATTTAAAGGAGCATCTCTCCCCCCCCCCCTCCTCCCAATGAACGTCGAGTCAACGCCATGAACATTTGCCTCGCCGGGCCGATGAGCATGAAACCCATCGGTTAACTGCGCCACCCGTTCGTCCTGACCATGCTGCACTGCAGTCCTTCCTCTTTTGGTTCCCTCTCTTTATCCGTGGGGAGGAATTCCAAAACTGCAGGAATCCCGCAATATACAGTACTATAATATATTCCATCGAAGCTAGAGATAAGGAGTGCAGAGTCAAGCGTGGTCCGAGTCATACCTTATCGAGCGTCGTTATGGATACAGGAACCGAAAAGAAACTGAAATCATACAAACAGATAACATGGTGCACGTATTTGAAAAGAGGGAGGGAAGATCTTTGCCGCAGTGCCATGCGAGCGAAGTGACGCGTCGAGGGAAAGCGAAACTTAAATCAAGAGAAAGATGAAGCTGGACGCGAGCGCCCTGAAGAAACCCGCAGCCTTCTTCAAATACGGAGAAATCGTGAGTTTTTTCCTCGTCCCGGTCTCCTCGGGCGCGTCGGTCATCGCGTCGACGACCATGGCCCCGGTGGCCAGGTAGAACAGGGCGCACAGTGCTCTGTGGACCATCTCCTGACGTGAGCAAAAAGTGTTTCAAGTGCTGCCCCCCCCCGGAGGGGGGGGGCGGGGGGGGGGGGGGGGGGGGGGGGGGGGGGGGGGGGAAGGTGGAGGACTTCCGGATTTCACTTCGCGAGATGTCCTGCGGATCCTATTCAGGGATCGTCCAAGGCTCCTCTTCGACTTAAACGACCTAGAATATCCGAACACCTTAAGAAGCAGGATTTCCAGTATAACACGCAACGATGTCTGCAGAACACGAATCCACTTTTTTAAATTAGGTATTTCAACTTCATAATTCAGCATCTCCTTCTACATCCTCAATGTTATTGTCCTATTGTGTCCTATCCCTATAACGGAGGCGTTGCATCAGAAATTGCCATGACCGGCACGGTCTCGCGCAGGACTTGGTACTGACGATAACTTGTGCCTTGTTTGGGGACTTTTAAGGTGGTCATAAAAAAATATTGTTTTACGTCTGTAAACCTTACCGTTAAGGAAAAAGAGTGCAATGAACCTGTTTGCAGCGGGTGGCTGGTGATGGGCGCGGAGCAACCATTTGTGTTCTCCAGACTCAACTGGTAAATACATGAATTGCCTTAGATCCCGTATGTGCCTTGAATCCAGAAATGGAAATTTCACGATGCGATCTCGTGAAAGACTCGGACCAGGTCTCGTCAGACCCTCACAGAACTCTCGGAGTAAAGGGTTTTACTCCGTGAAACCGTCTCAGCCACGGATCCTTACCGTATAAAATGAACGTGTTACTCGACGCATCATTCACGGGGACTCGACACGAGTGACCAAAGTCTCGCTCGAATCTCCGGGAACCGAAGGCGGTACAACGAAGGAGTTCCACGCACTGTTCTATGACGATGTTCGTCTATGCGACTCGGCTCGCGCGGTCCTATCATTCCCTTATTTCGGTTGTGGGTATCGGAATTTAAGACTTGTTATGAAAAGAAGGACTTCCTACAGGAGCAAATAACGCCAACTGGGTCATTTCATTCCACTCGAGGAACGCATTACTTGCGGCTGTAAGGGAAAGTTCATGCTAAGAGGAGGAAGTATTAACCCTAATTGCATCTGTCCGGTGCTATTCAATACATTCGGTTCTCGAATCGACCCATTCGCTTTCTCACTTGAGTGTGTGTTTCTAAGTCTCTTTATGATCCGGAGATGGCGTTGACTCGTGAGACCAGCGATGTCGACGCACTTGAAACACTTTTTGCTCACGTCAGGAGATGGTCCACAGAGCACTGTGCGCCCTGTTCTACCTGGCCACCGGGGCCATGGTCGTCGACGCGATGACCGACGCGCCCGAGGAGACCGGGACGAGCTTGGTCCGAGCCTCTGGGATCGTCTGCCTCTTCCTCGCCCTCGTCTTCGTCGCGGACGTCGTCTTCGTCGGGTGGAAGTGTCGCAAGGACGGTCGATAGACCTCCTTTGCGTCCTGTGATGCCGTCGCGTCCTGTCATGTCCTCGCGTCCTGTGACCTCCTTCGCGTCCTGTCATGTCCTCGCGGCTGCGTGTAATTCCGATATTTCGTTTTTCTGCGTCGCTTGGGTTCGTCGCTTTCCGGCTCAAAAAGAAGAGCTTTCGCTTCAGAAATTCCGTTTAAAAAAATAGGGGCAAAAAATTATTACAAATATTTTCAAATTCCTCATACAAATGAACTACATGGGTTCATGAGTTGATTAGATTAATGGCAACCGCTTATATTTTCCTTAAGTTGATCTTCGAAAAAAAAGGTTTTGCACATGACCTTAATCTCAATTAAGGTCAAATGCTAATCTCCGATTAATCTCGATTTCCCCACATTGCCTTATTTCACAATCTCGAAACTTGTCCCGAATTTACTGCACATCTTAAGAAGTTTCCTGTCGCGTTTCGTCAGCAAAAGCTTTCTAGGTAACTGTTTCGGGCGATTAGTATGACTCCATAGACGTTATTGAAATCGGGTCAATAGGCGGGTTTTCTCTATTAATATTCATGCCACAAACTCGAAACTCTAAACGATTGCATGGTGTGCTAGTTCGAGCTAGAGTACCAAATTTCATTATGATCGCTCAACTCATTCTTGGTCCTGCGTTTTTTGCTATGAGTATATTTGAGACGACTTTCCGAATTTTTTTTGGACAACAGTCATATCTGTCAAATGCAATTGTGCATGTTAGTATATGCTCGTGACGATCAACAATTCCCGCTTTCTCCCCGTTAAGAAGCGACACGATTCAATATTTTTTGCGATACACAGTATATTGGATGCGGGCCGTCGCTTACCTGTCGTCGCGAAAATCGGAGCTGGACCTTCTCGTCGATAGGGGTTTAAGCGCCCATTCCCTTCGTTAAAGTAAGATCCCTTGTATTCCTCTCTGAGAGCATTGAGAGGAACGGAATCGAGCATGCTTCTTCCCCTCACAGCGCAGAATCACTCCAGCAAATGTGAAGCTTTAATTCTCCAGGGTTGTAGAAAATACTGAATTTTTCCATCATGAAGAATTCCATTTCATTCCAGTATTCTTTTTTTCTCTCTCAATCCCAGCTCCCCCCCCCCAACCTCCCCCCTGCTCTTTCGTATCTGCGGCTGGATCTTGTTCTTTTTAATAAATGATACATGTTTTTAGCAGTGGCCTATTCTTGTAGTAAGAAATGGAGATATCGTACACAGACATCCCTGAATCGAGCGGATGGCGCCCACCATGCATTCCAATCCAGGAGGCATTCCTTCGCTAGACTTCGTCGAGACGGTTGAAGGAGCTCCAGATAGATCTCATGCTCTACATCCGCACTGAAATGGTTCCTGAAACTCGAAATAATCTTTTTATCGGTTGTAGGCGACTCTGACGGGATCGTAATTTACTATTAATCACTAACAGAACGCCAGCGTGTTCGAGGTTAGAATGACTCCGTTGATTCCTTCTTAATAATACGAGGGATATCCAGAAAAAAAGGTTACAAGTGCCCTGGAGGGTGCAGGGAATTTTTTTTTTCGAAGGTTGGCATACCTGCGTGTAGGGGGGTTCCTAACGGTCAAAATAAGCCCGGGACCGCGTCAGTCAGTTGTGAAATGTCGTCACAGCAAGCGAGTTCGTCAACCTCTGCTGAGGCCGTTTGCTCCACCTAC